CTTTCTCTGACCCTCCCTTGTTCATGCTCTCTCTCTGTATCAAAAATAAATAAATGTTAAAAAAATTTTTTTTAAATAAATAAATAAATAAAGTTTGAGGAAATACCCAGTGACTTCCTAAGATCAGCACTATGAAGTCTGAAACCAACTCAGAGAGAAGGGCAAAGATTCCAACAATCACGTTACCTTGACTAGTGACGAATGAGGGACTTGGAACTTCCTCGTGTCTTCCTGAAACATCGGGGGGACCTGGACCTTGATGTCCCAAAGCCTGGGAGAGGTCCCTCTCTGTGGCCCATCCACTGACTGGTCTGACACAGAAAGGGATCATTGTAAGGCCAGTGAACAGCTACAAGAACAAGCTTTCATTTATTTACCAAACAGGATGGAGCCTTCACCTGATGCCAGGCATTAGGCAAGATCCTGCGCTAAGGGCCCCCTCAGAGTCTGTGGTTAAGCACCCAAGTGTTGAAGTCGAACAGACCTGGTTTGACTCCTGACTCTTCTGCTTCCCAGCTGCGCAACTCCAGACAAGTTAATTTACCTCTGTGACCTGCAATTCTCTCATCTCCAAAATGGAGGAAATACATGGCACCTACCATATAGGATGGTAGTGAAATTAAACAGAAGGCATAGCAATGCTTAGCACAGGGATGGCACATGATAGAGGGATCAAAAGCAAGAACTGCCATCACTGTGGTGACTATTCCCCACCTTCTTGTCCTTTCTCCTTCCCCTCCTCTGTTCAAGGAGATAAGGCACAGCTACAATGATGATACAATGTAATAGGATATGGAAAGTGCTTGGGACAAGAGTTGCATAAAGCCTCTGCAAACTCAGAAGACTGACTCCTGTTGGATAAGGGGTCAGCAGGTGAAGAAATCCTGAAAGGCTTCGTAAAAGAGGTGACACAGGAGCTGAGTCTTAAAGGATGAACCAGTGGTCAGCAGAGAAGGAAGCGCTTAGGGCTTCCCAGAGAGAACCTTCAGCAGCTAGTGGGGTTCAGCAGCAGGCAGGATGGCACAGTGAATGGGGTCCTCAAGACTCAAGGAGGCACTGGGGATGGCCTAGAAGGCAAGCGGGAACCCAACCACACAGGCTGCCTTTGTGATCTAGCCCCGTGTGGTGGCACCAGTGTGTGGCCAAAGGCAAAACCCTAGACTTTTTCAGGCCCTTCTGCAAACCACTTCCAGACAGGAAGGATTTATTTCCCAAGTTCCACACTGGAAAGTCTGGATAAAAGCCCACCCTCTCATTTTACAGAGGATGGGGAAACCAGGGCTCCAAGCAGAAGAGCATCTCACTCAGGGTTAGTGGATAAGACATATCCTGATATTTTCCACCAGCCCCTGCCATATCTGTTCCCAAGTAAACTGATTTCACTTACTAGTAAAGGGTTGAAATGTCCATTCGCTTATCCTGGATTCACTAAAAGTCTCTAGTCGATACTACAGAGAAAAAAAAACCAGCATGTCCACAGTCATGCCCTTTAGGAAGACAGCATTGTGAAAAAAGACGAAGCTTTCCACCTGCCGAGGCTCCCCGGGAAATTGAAAGGCCCCACACCCAGCACCACAGGCTGCTTTGAACAGCTGGCAAAGATGATTTCTGCTCCAGATGCCCCTGGACGCCTGCAGGGAGGTCAGTCAGCCCCAGGAAATCTCCCCCGATGGGCTCACAGGCTGATTTCAGCTCCCATTTCTTTACACCCAGAAATGCTCTATAAGGCAAGCTGTGGGACAGCAATTGCCCTTTAACAGATGGAGGCCAGTCGAATCTGCTGCCTCAAACGTCCCCTTTGGAGGAATTTTTCTGCCTGATGTCAAGGTCCTCCCTCTTGATCTCATCCACAAAATCACAAAACAAGAAGGGATCTTGGACATCACCTGGCTCCTCCTCTGACACTGGAGAAAACAGAGGCTCAGAGAGGTCAGTTGCCTTGACCAAGATCACACAGCTACACAGGGGCCTCTTCCCCTAGGCTCCTGCTCTAACCACTGCCTGTGAGGCTTCTATGCTTTCTGTGTGATGGTGCACTTGCCAGAGGATGGCTGTGCCAGTGGCACTAGAAAATGTGAACTTAAAAGCTGTTCCTTGGCCCTGTCGATGCAGAAGGGGACATAAGTGCCCATTGTGGTCTCAGTAACAGACATAAGATTTCCCTGGAGCTTCGGGCCCAGGGGTCATGAATAAACGATTCCTTGGCACAGATGTGACTGGCGGGATCCAGGGGAGTAGATGGGCCTTTCTTGGCCCACCTCTCCTGGAAGCAGGTTACTCATGTATTTAAAGACACGGACTTTGGTGACGGCGAACCCAATTTACTTCCTAGCTCTGTCACTTCTAGCTGTAAATTTGGGGCAAGTAACTTTACCTCTCTAAACTTTGAATTCCTCCCCTTTAACTGGTGACAGTAAGATCTACTGTGCAGGGCAGTTGTGGGACTTCATAAGACATACGTGTAATATGCCACCCATGATGCCGAGCACAGTTGAGCTTTGCAGTGAAGACTGGTAATGACTCCTTGTGTCATCATGCACAACTACAGACCAGAGGAGTGGCAAAAGGCACTTCAGTGTCACTGCTATTCACATTCACTGATCCCCCCAAGACTCCTTTCTCCCGTTCGACCTCACGCAAGCCACCCCCCGCCCCAAAGCCTAAAGCCCTCCCAGGCGACCGCCAGGCCCAGGCCCCCTTACCCTGCACAACGTCTGCTGCTTCAGCTCCTGGATGATGAGGTCACCGGCGGCTGTGCTGCCATAGCAGCATTTGGAGCTCACAAAGCTGAGGAGGGCTTCGCGGGCCACTTCCTCTGTCACCAAGGGGACTCTGCTGGGGACAGAGCACAGAAGCAGGGTCTCTGGAAAGGGCCTGCAGGCTCATCAGGGCCAGCCAGCTCCCTCTTGATGCAGATGGAAATGGAGGTCAGGAGAAGGGAAGGGCCAGGCCGTGGGCCACAGTAGTGGTGAGGCACTCGGGGGTCCATCTGGGGAAGGAACCTCTGGCAGAGGGAACTGTGTGAACAGATGCCCACAGCGGGAGCAAGGCAGTTCTTTCTAGAGGACAGGACAGCAACACTGCTGTGGCTGAAGTGCAGGGCTCAGGAGAAGAGCTTAGAGAATCTTAGCGCGCGCGCGCACACACACACACACACACACACACACACACACACACACACACTTAAAGATGTACTTAAAGACGAATCATGCCATTTTACAGATGAGGAAAACTGAGGTCTGGAGACGATGTCACACAGCTAGGAGGAGGCAAAGTTAGGCCAGACCACGTTCCCATGTTCCTGCCCTTGGGGACCTTGCCCCCTCAGCCAGAGGAGCTATGAGCAGTGTTCATGAGAAAGCCCCTGCCAAGAACTACCAGGCCGTGGTGCCCACAGGGACCCACCATGAGCCTGCTGGGCCAGCGCGGCAGTGGGTGGGAAGGAAGACAACAAATCGCCCCTTCCTTGGCCTTCTCTCTGGATGCCTCCCTCTCCTCCTAGAAAGCTCTTCCCTGAGGCCCAGCTGCCATGCCCCCTCCTAGCAAAGCCCTCCCCCACCAAGACCTCCAGGAAGCAGAAGTCCCCTCCTTCTTCCTCCCTCATATCTTCATTTACTTCTCCACAACAGCCTGACTCCAAAACAGTAAGCCCCTCTCATGCACAGTGATGTCTCCAGCGCCTCTGGTCTGGTGCACAGAGGGGCCTGCGCACATGCAGGAGGTGTGGGGCCCAGAATGGCCAAGAGCACTCCATTGAGGAAGTGGGGTCTGCCCTGGGCGTGGAAGGTGGGCGGCCAGGGAGGGGAAGGGGAGGCACTCTAGGCAGCAGTGCAGCCAGGAGAACCCAGGAGATTCCCTGAAGGCAGGATACAGCCACCCAACCAAGTGACCAGACCCAGAAAGCAGGGGGTTCCACCTTCTCTCTGCACAAAGCTGGCTGGAAAGCCAGAGCTCTGTCCAGAGTCCTGGGTCCAGGGAGTCAGCAAACTCCTTCTGCAAAGGACTAGAGACTAAACAGTTTAGGCTTCATGGACCATACAGTCTGCCTCAATCACTCACCTGTGCTGTTGTAGAACAAAAGCAGCCACGGACAGTATGTGAATAAATGGCATGGCTCTGCTCCAATAAGACTTGATTTACAAAAGCAAGCAGCAGCTGGATTTGGCCCAGGGAGCTGCAGTTCCCAACCCCTGGTCAACACTGTGCTTCTCGACCGCAGCTTGGTAGCCAAACAGCCTGAAGAGCTTGCTTGGTAAAGTACACATTCCTGGCCTCTGTCCCTGGAGGATCTGATCCAGTAGGTCTGGGATCCTGATGCACTGTCAGGGTTGAGATCTGTAGACCCTAAAATCCACGAGGAGGGCTCTTGGCACAGTGGGGGTGGGGGTGATGTGAGGGTCACTGCACATGATCCTGTGTGATGGTACCACAGCTCACCTGTGCTCCAGGAACGAGGACCAGCACCTTTGCTCCAGGGGTCTCCCTGGAGCCTCCAAAGGTGGGAACCTTATCTGCTGTCCTGGAGGAGAGGGGAGGAGTCAGGGGCTCCACAGCCTAGCTCAAAGGCACAGGTATTTGCAGGGTGAAGGAAGAATAGACTGGTTGAAAGGGAGGTTGAATGAGACAAAGGGAAATGCTAATGTATCTAATGCAAGAAGAGTGGTTCTCAAACCAGCATGATTCCAGTCTTAAATACCTGTGGATATGGTCATGGAATGTTTGTGGACACAGGGCTGATGTCCCTATGTGCTCCTTGTCCCTCCCAATGGTGATAAGAGGCTTCCCAGGGCCCCCCAGGGGAAAGGGGCGGTATCCCAGCGCTGGCCTTTCCAGATAGGTCTCTGCAACCAGCATAAGCCCCAGGAAGAGGCTGTAGGAACCAAGACCCGCCAGACTTACCACCTCTTTGAAAAAGCCAGTCATAGCTGGGCAGTCTCTCCAGGAGTTCAGCTGGCGGCGCCAAAGGACTCTCGGCCTCAAAACTGAGGTCCACCACACCTGTGAAAGGAAGGCAGTCCTGAGCTTCTGGGAGGAGGGGAGTCAGTGGTGACTTCACTGGAAGCTGACAAGCCAGGGTGGGTGTGTTAACAAAAAAGCTGACAGTTTAACAAGCCAATCTCACTCTGGCACCATGGGACACACAACACATCTGTAGGGCAGGTGGGGATGGGGTAGGGGTGTGATAGTAGCAGCGATAATAATAATGATGAGAAAAACATTCAGAATGGCAGCTCCTGTTTGCTGGGTACCTACTCTGTGCCAGTCCCCCATGACAGATGATCATATAGAAACATGATCATATTCCATGACCCTAGGAGACAGGTACTGAATTAGAGATGGCCACACTTCTTTGTTGCTTCTGTCTTCATGTGGTGTATCTGTTATCTCCTCCCCTTGAACCTTCACAGGCTTGAGGCTGCTTCAAGCAAGGGAACATGGGGGAAACATGAAGAGACCACAGCTTCTACTTCTTGTCTCTTGGAGCACTCCCTCTCGGAGCACTCCCTCTTGGAGCACTCTCTCTTGGAGCACTCTCTCTTGGAGCACCCCCTCTCAGAGCACTCTCTTGGGGCACTCCCTCTTGGAGCACTCCCTCTTGGAGCACTCTCTTGGAGCAC